TCCATTTTTCGATTGGGTCATTCATTTTTCTGGAATTGAGCTGCAGGAGCTGCTTATATATTTTTGAGATTAATTATGTTAGTTGCCACATTTGTTATTACTTTTTCCCATTCTGAAGGCTGTTGTTTCACCTTGCTTATAGTTTCCTTCGCTGTGCAAAAGCTTTAAAGTTTAATTAGGCCCCATTTATTTTTGCTTTTATTTCCATTACTCTGGGAGATGGGTCATAGCAGATCCTGCTGTGATTTATGTCAGAGAGTGTTTTGCCTATATTTTCCTCTAGGAATTTTATAGTTTCTGGTCTTATGCTTAGATCTTTAATCCATTTTGAATTTATTTTTGTGTATGGTGTTAGAAAGTGTTCTAGTTTCATTCTTTTACAAGTGGTTGACTAGTTTTCCCAGCACTTGTTAAAGAGATTCTCATTTCTCCATTGTATATTCTTGCTTCCTTCATCAAAGATAAGGTGCCCATCAGTTCAGTTCAGTTCAGTCACTCAGTCGTGTCCGACTCTTTGCGACCCCATGAATCACAGCACGCCAGGCCTCCCTGTCCATCACCAACTCCCGGAGTTTACTCAAACCCATGTCCATCAAGTCAGTGATGCCATCCAACCATCTCATCCTCTGTCGTCCCCTTCTCCTCCTGCCCCCAATCCCTCCTAGCATCAGGGTCTTCTCCAATGAGTCAACTCGTCGCATGAGGTGGCCAAAGTACTGGAGTTTCAGCTTCAGCATCAGTCCTTCCAATGAATGCCCAGGGCTGATCTCCTTTAGGATGGACTGGTTGGATCTCCTTGCAGTCCAAGGGACTCTCAAGAATCTTCTCCAACACCATAGTTCAAAACCAGCAATTTTTCAGTGCTCAGCTTTCTTCACAGTCCAACTGTCACATCCATACATGACCACTGGAAAAACCATAGCCTTGACCAGACGGACCTTTGTTGGCAAAGTAATGTCTCTGCTTTTTAATATGCTATCTAGGTTGGTCATAACTTTCCTTCCAAGGAGTAAGCATCTTTTAATTTCATGGCTGCAGTCACCATCTGCGGTGATTTTGGAGCCCCCAAAATTAAAGTCTGACACTGTTTCCACTGTCTCCCCATCTATTTCCCATGAAGTGATGGGACCAGATGCCATAATCTTAGTTTTCTGAACATTAAGCTTCAAGTCAACTTTTTCACTCTCCTCTTTAACTTTCATCAAGAGGCTTTTTAGTTCCTCTTCACTTTCTGCTATAAGGGTGGTGTCATCTGCATAGCTGAGGTTATTGATATTTCTCCTGGCAATCTTGATTCCAGCTCCTGCTTCTTCCAGCCCATCATTTCTCATGATGTACTCTGAATAAAGTTAAATAAGCAGGGTGACAATATACAGCCTTGACGTACTCCTTTTCCTATTTGGAACAAGTCTGTTGTTCCCTGTCCAGTTCTAACTGTTGCTTCCTGACCTGCATACAGGTTTCTCAAGAGGCAGGTCAGGTGGTCTGGTATTTCCATCTCTTTCAGAATTTTCCAGTTTATTGTGATCCACACAGTTGAAGGCTTAGGCATAGTCAATAAAGCAGAAATAGATGTTTTTCTGGAACGCTCTGCTTTTTTGATGACCCAGCGGATGTTGGCAATTTGATCTCTGGTTCCTCTGCCTTTTCTAAAACCAGCTTGAACATCTGGAAGTTCACGGTTCACGTATTGCTGAAGACTGGGTTGGAGAATTTTGAGCATTACTATACTAGCATGTGAGATGAGTGCAATTGTATGGTAGTTTGAGCATTCTTTGGGATTGCCTTTCTTAGGGATTGGAATGAAACCAACCTTTTCCAGTCCTGTGGCCACTGCTGAGTTTTCCAAATTTGAAAGGTGCCCATAGGTGTGTGGATTTATCTCTGGGCTTTCTATTTTGTTCCATTGATCCATATTTCTTTCTTTTGCCAGTACCATACTGTCTTGATGTCTGTAACTTTGTAGTATAGTATAAATTCAAGAAGGTTGATTCCTCCAGTTCCAATCTTCTTTCTCAAGATTGCTTTGGCTATTCAAGGTTTCTTGTATTTCCATATAAATTGTGAAATTATTTGTTCTAGTTCTCTGAAAAATCCTATTTGTAGCTTGATAGGGATTGCATTGAATCTATAGATTTCTTTGGGTAGTATACTCATTTTTATTATATTGATTCTTCAGATACATGACATGGTATATTTCTCCATCTATTTGTGTCATCTTTGATTTCTTTCATCAGTGTTTTACAGTTTTCTATATATAGGTCTTTTGTTTCTTTAGGTAGATTTATTCCTAAGTATTTTATTCTTTTCGTTGCAAAGGTGAATGGAATTGTTTCCTTAATTTCTGTTTTATCATTGTTAGTGTACAGGAATACAAGGGATTTGTGTGTTAATTTTATATCCTGCAACTTTACTATATTCATTGATTAGCTCTAGTAATTTTCTGGTGCAGTCTTTAGAGTTTTCTATGTAGAGGATCATGTCATCTGCAAACAGTGAGAGTTTTACTTCTTCTTTTCCAATCTGGATTCCTTTTATTTCTTTCTCTTCTCTGATTGCTGTGGCTAAAACTTCCAAAACTATGCTGAATAGTAGTGGTAAGAGTGGGCACCTTTGTCTTGTTCCTGACTTTAGGGGAAATGCTTTCAATTTTTCACCATTGAGGATAATGTTTGCTATGGGTTCATCATATATGGTGAGCCCTCTTTTGAATAATGACCTTTTGATTCCTCATCAAACCATTACCTCACAATGCTATGACTTCTAATGGGAACATTAGCAAGTCAGATGAACATATCTTGTGAATGACTTTCTGCTCACAATACAGATTTGGGAGAAGGAGGGGTTAAAAAAAACAACAGTAAGTTGTAGGAAAGTGAAGGTAAAGTCACTCAGTCGTGTCCAACTCTTTGAGACTCTATGGACTGTAGCCTACCAGGCTCCTCTGTCCATGGAATTTTCCAGGCAAGTATAATGGAGTGGGTTGCCATTTCCTTCTCCAGGGGTTCTTCCCGACCCAGGCATCGAACCTGGGTCTCCTGCATGGCAGGCAGACACTTTACCATCTGAGCCACCTGGAAAGCCCTGGGAAGTTGTAGTAAACACTAAAATAAACATGACAGAATAAGCCAGTAAAAGATCTCTAAAGGGATGGACTGAATAACTTTCCAAATAGAATTTAGGGATATTGGACCCTTATATTATAGGGCTTTTTCATCATACTGGGATCAAGACAACTATCCTTACTGAAGCCTGTAAGGTCCTGATATTGATCTTGATATCTAACCCATGCTACCTTTCCATCCTCTACAACATCCCTCCAATCCAGCAACACTAAGCTGCCTTCAGATCCACAAAGGAAGGGACCATGCTCCCTGAAGCCACAAGGTTTTCACACTAGTTGCTCTCAATACTTCTGTGTGGAATGCTCTCCCATGCCCACCACCTAACTACCCCCACTCATCCTGCGGAAATGAGCTCAGTCACCACTACACTTCGGGGAAGTCTTACCCAAATTCCCTGACGAGGGACAGGAAGACCCTCATCTTTATTTATAGCATTTACCACAGCTGCCAGTTTATATGTAATTTTATAACATATACACTTTATATTTAACTTTTATTTGCAGCACTTTTCATAGTCGAAAATTCTTATTTACTTGTGTGATTATTTGATTACTGTCTGTCTCCTCTATGAGAGTGTTCTTGTCATGAGGACAGTGCCCACATCTTTTTGTTTCTGGTTTTGTCAACCATTCTATAACCAACACATAGCACAAGGCCTCAGACATAATAGATGCCTCAAAGTATTTACTGACTGACTGAAGGGCAAGATGCAATGGATATAGTTACAATATTGAGAGATCCTAATTCAGCAGCTTTTTAAATGTTATTTTCCAGAACTCAAGACAGGTAAATAGACTCGTCTTTTAAATGCTGCTTCCAAATAAAATGAACAAAAAATCCTGATTTTACTTGTAAGTGAAATATAACAGCCATAGCTTTTCTCACCAAACTCACAATGAAAAGGTATTGTTTATGCTATCTTTGGGACTGTTATTTGCCCACACCAATTCTTATTTATTTTTTTAATTGACAGACTATATAGACTTTATACTGTTGGCATCTTCAGTGCTCTTATGACACTACATACCCAGAATCCATGGCTAATTCATTTCAATGTACGACAAAAACCACTGCAATGATGTAAAGTAATTAGCCTCCAACTAATAAAAATAAATGGAAAAAAAAAAACAATTCAAAGACAAATTCATGTTTTCACTTTGGTAGAAAAACTTTTTTTTTTTTTTTTTTTGCTGATCAGTAGAAATTCCACATAATAGCAAAATCATGAGCTTTTCTTGTCAAATAATTTAATTAATACCTCTGCATTTCTTCCTCTTCTCAACCTTTTCCTTACTGTAAACTTCTGAGTTCTAATCAATATGATTCACTAAGTATAAAAACTTGAAAAGGAATGTGTTAGTCCCTGTGTCCAGCTCTTTGCTACCTCACAGACTGTAGCCCACCAGGCTCCTCTGTTCATGGGATTCTCCAGACAAGAATACTGGAGTTGGTAGCCATTCCCTGCTCCAGGGAATCTTCCCAACCTAGGGATTGAACCTGGGTCTCCTGCATTGCAGGCAGATTCTATATTGTCTGAGCCACCAGGGAAGGCCATAAAAGCTCAGTATTGATATACTCAAGGCATCATGTAGATGTTGGGGTGCATAAAGGCATGAGTAAGATAGCATCCTGACCCTCAAAGAAATTATCATGTGGTAGAGCTAATCTCCAAGTGTGGATCTGATTTTATTAGAAAGGACTGTTTCTAAATTGAGGAAGATCTCAGAAGGCAGTTTCCCCAGAGAAGCAATGTCCCTCACGCTGATGATTTAGGACTACTTCCAAAAGCCTCAGATTATAAGCACTAATTTTTTGTTTTTTTAAAAACACATCCTTTAATACTCTGTGGCCTGTACTAATCATTAAAAGTCTTACCTCCTCTGTTTCATAATTAGCTCTCAGATTTTCTTTATAAAATGGTTGTTCAACATCACTGTGTACTTCTTCCTCACACAAGAAGTCTTGAGACTGACTAGGATTGAGGGCAGATTCTGTGGCAGTACTATTAGCCAGTGGCATTTCCATGAATTTCAGTGTCTCTTCACTGCAGTGGATTAGCGGTGGGCTTCTAGAAGGCTGTCTGACACACTCAAGAGCAAATTGATCTGTATGTGTGAAAGTGCTAATTCCCATCGGGTTTTCTTCCTTAAATGGGTCTTCCTGTATATTGGTGTCTTCTGCATAATCACATACATAATGCTGCAATTCTGGCTCCTCTGTATAAGATAAGCTTTCCGTCAGATCTTGAACTGCTATTTCATTATTAAATGATTCTGTCTGATGAAATTGGCAAAGGGGTTCAAATTTTCTCAAGGAAGAAATGCTGGTGTCAATTGGCTGAGTGAGTACATTCTGTGAGTAATTTCCAATGTTGACATCTCATTAGAAAAAGAAAGATGGAAATAAGAATTAGCTGACCTTAAATTTATGTGTTAACAGTTACATTCACATTTACGAAATAAATTGTTGGAGTCTTTTAAGAATTATAAGTTCAACCTTTTTCATTAAGTTTATTTGTGCTAGCAGCTGCAACAAAACTTTTTTACATGGAGGAAAAAGTCATCAAGTGACTACCACAAAAAAGCTTCTTACAGTTCATTCTTGTCAAATACCATTGCAACAAATTCTAAGACATCTTCAAAGTTCTCTTGTGGTACTCTAATTTTAAAATGCTTCAAAAGAATAAAAACACAGTGTATAGTATAATAGCAAACACACATAAACATTTTTAAGCTCACAACAATCTCATGAGCTAGGTACTGTTATTACCCGTTTTTACAGATAAGGAAACTGAAACATAAGAGATGTTAAGTCAGTTGCCGTGACACAGCTGGCAAGCAGTGCCGCTGGGATTCTAGAATACTATTTATCATTCTGAATATGACAAGTTATTCAGGTTTAATATTTTAAAAAATTAGAAGTAAAGACAACATGCAAAGAAGTATTTCAAATAAATAACCCTTCCTTTCCATCTAAATTCCTTCCTCTTCCCCACCCAGAGAGAACTACTAGACTGAAGCTGCTGCTGGTGCTCCTTGGTCTGTCAGTCATGTCCAACTCTTTCTGACCCCATGGACTGTAGACCACCAGGCTCCTCTGTCCATGGGATTTTCCTGGCAAGAATACTGGACTGCGTTGCTATGCCCTACTCCAGGGGATCTTCCCAACCCAAGGATCGAACCCATATCTCCTGTGTCTCCTGCACTGCAGGCAGATTCTTTACCACTGAGCTATCAGGGAAGACCCATACTGAAGTTGGTGGCCCTGTGTTTGGGTTGTTGTTGGTTTTTTTTTTTTGGTGTGAGGGGGGAATATCTAAAATGTCATTCATGAAAGTTATTGGAAACATAAAAAACTAGTCTGAGTATGGCATAAAATCACAGTAACTTTGTATGGTTGTTGTTTAGTCACTCAGCTGTGTCCAACTCTTTGCGACCCCATGGACTGCAGCACTCTAGATGTCTCTGTCGTTCACCATCTCCCAAAGCCTGCTCAAACTCATGTCTATCAAGGCAGTGATGCCATCCAAAAATCTCACCCTCTGTCATCCCCTTCTCCTCCCACCTTCAATCTTGCCCAGGAACAGGGTCCTTTCCAATGAGTCAGCTCTTCACATCAGGTAGCCAGAGTATTGGAGCTTCAGCTTCAGCAACAGTCCTTCCAATGAATATTCAAGACTGATTTCCTTTAGGGTTGACTGGTTTGATATCCTTGCAGTCCAACGGACTCTCAAGAGTTTTCTCCAACACCACAATTCAAAAGCATCAATTCTTCAATGCTCAGCCGTCTTTATGGTCCAAGTCTCAAACCCATGCATGATTACTGGAAATACTATAGCTTTGATTAGATGGACCTTTGTCGGCAAAGTAATATCTCCGCTTTTTAATATGCCGTCTAGATTTGTCATAGCTTTTCTTCCAAGAAGCATCTTTCGATATCATGGCTGGCAGTCACCATCTGCAGTGATTTTGGAGTACAAGAAAATTAAGTCTATCACTATTGTTTCCCCATCTATTTGTCATGAAGTGATGGGACCGGATGCCATGATCTTAGTTTTCTGAATGTTGAGTTTTAAGCCAACTTTCTCACTCTCCTCTTTCACTTTCATCAAGAGACTCTTTAGTTCTTCACTTTCTGCCACAAGGGTGGTGTCATCTGTGTATTTGAGGTTATTGATACTTCTCCCGGCAATCTTGACTCCAGCTTGTGCTTTATCCATCCTGGTATTTCGCATGATGTACTCTGCATATAAGTTAAATAAGCAGGGTGACAATATACAGCCTTGACGTACTCCTTTCCTAGTTTGGAATCAGTCCATTGATCCATGTCTGGTTCTGACTGTTGCTTTTTGACCTGCACACAGGTTTCTCAGAAGGCAGGTCAGGGGGTCTGGTATTCCCATCTCTTTAAGAATTTTCCACAGCTTGTTGTGATCCACAGTTAAAGGTTTTAGCATAGTCAATGAAGCAGATTTTTTTTTGGAATTCTCTTGCTTTTTCTATGACCCAACCAATGTTGGCAATTTGATCTTTGGTTCCTCTAACCTTTTCTAAATCCAGCTTGAATATCTGAACGTTTTCCGTTTACTGGAACCTAGCTTGGAAAATTATGAGCATTATTTTGCTAGCATGTGAGATGAGTACGATTGTGCAGTAGTTTTCACATTCTTTGGCACTGCCTTTCTTTGGGACTGGAATGAAAACTGACCTTTTCCAGTCCTGTGGCCACTACTGAGTTTTCCAAATTTGCTGGCATATTCACTGTAGCACTTTCACAGTATCAGCTTTTATGATTTTAGATAGCTCAGCTGGAATTCCATCACCTCCAGTAGCTTTGTTTGTAGTGATGCTTCCTAAAGCCCACTTGACTTCACATTCCAGGATGTCTGGCTCTAGGTGAGTGGTCACACCATGGTGGTTATCTGGGTCCTTAAGATCTTTTTGGTATATTTCTTCTGTGTATTCTTGCCACCTCTTCTATCTTCTGCTTCTGTTAGGTTCATACAGTTTCTGTCCTTTGTGTCCATCTTTGCGTGAAATGTTCCCTTGGTATCCCTAAGAGATCTCTAGTCTTTCCCATTCTATTGTTTTATTTCTTTGCATTGATCACTTAAGAAGTCTTTCTTCTCTCTCCTTGCTCTTCTTTGGAACTTGGCATTCAGATGGGTATATCTTTTTTTTTTTTTTTTCAGATGGGTGTATCTTTCCATTTCTCCTTTGCCTTTACTATCTTTGTATGGAAGTAAATACTGATTTGCACAAAAAGAAGTGTTGGGACCCAGAAGGTGGAAGGATCTCTCCCTTAATCAAAAGATACTTACTCACTATTATCAGAGCACTGTTAGCATCTGTAAAACACTGTTTCTATGTACTTGATACTTTCTTTCACCTCATTACCAAGTGAAATCCATCACTACACATCAGTTTTCCCTCCGTTCCCTGCGCCACTCTTATCCTCTAAGGCACTTGGGCTTGAAAACCAGACGTCTTTGGCATCCTTCTACCTAATCACCCATGGACTACTCAATTTCCAGGTCCTCTCTTTTTCTCCTTTAAAAATGTTTTTCATAACCCATGCTTTGTTTCCCTCACTGTGGCATCATCCTGATCCACATTCTCATGACCTCCTCAGGTCTGTCAGAGGATCGGAGTAGAAAACTTGTCCAATCACATTACACTGAATCCAATTCTTCTGTTTGACTTTCAGCCCTTACACAGCCTGGACCCACATTACCCACCCAGTCCTCTGCTCGAGTCAGATCAGGCTTACTTTCCTGCAAACAGATCATGAGCCTTACGACTTCAATAGTCTGCTCTGGCAGGTGCTTCTCTTCCTAAAACTTTCCTATTTACCATTCATCTAGTTTTAAAATTCCTACAATGTCTAAATGTCTATCTCAAAATTCAGCACATTATTTGTTTGCTATTTTAGTCTTCACCATTGTTTCAAGGGTGTTAGTGTGGGAACTCACATATTATACAGACCTCAAGAGGAGTCCTGGAGAAGGAAATGGCAACCCACTACAGTATTCTTGCCTGGAGAATCCCATGGATGGAGGAGCCTGGTGGGCTACAGTCCACGGGGTCGCAAAGAGTCGGATATGACTGAGCGACTTAACTTTCACTTTCCCTATACTGTCTTCCAAATACATAAATGCTGTTTGGGCCTTGGTGGAGGAGGACTAAAGCATCCTTTTGTTCTCCAAGAATAAAAAACTACTAGGCCCTTATTTCTTCAAAATCCTGTCTGTGAACCCAGAACTTCCAATTAGAACTTTTACAATTCTGTTCCTATGGCATGATGTGCCAATTCACTTTTTTTTTTTTTTTTAGTTAGGCTTACTTTTTTCATCTTTCATTCTGTCCTCACATAACTTCTGCCACACATAAGAAAAAAACTTATTCAAGTGATTGGATAGATATTCCAGAGATACTTCTAAGCTGTTTTAGGACAGAAATGAAAAGAGTGTCACTGGGGTTACTGGCAAATATCCTCAAGTTTAATTTTCAGTCAAAGTTTAACTTCTGAAAAGCACTCATCTTACTTCCACCTCACAATACCGTAACAAACTTTTTAGGTCGCAAAAGTATGCTCACTTCCAGGGTCCATAGAGGCTCGGATCTGAAATAAGGATTTCGGGCTTCCTCCCTGCGCACTGGGCTCTACCGCGGGGAGAACGCTTTCAACCTTTTTCTTCAACGCCGGGCCGTCGGTGCAGACACACTGGAACGCCCCTGTGTGACGTCCACCCAGCCGCGGCCGCCGAGTTCCGCCGCCAGACGATCCGACGTCCCCTCAGACGTGCCCGCAGGCCCGGCGAGGGGCGCCTTCAGGTCTCCATTCACACAGTTAGGGGCTTACACAGCGTGAGCCCCCAGGGCCAGCAGCACCGGCCGAGCTTACACACGTGCCTCCACGGGAGGAGACAAAACGGCAAGCCGACGCGGAGAGCTCCGGGAAGGAAAACCAGCCCAGGACGCGCGGGGACCGACCACAGCAAGATCACCACACACCCGACAGCTTCCGCGGAAGGTCAATATCCAGGGCTCAGCCCCCGCGCGAGGCGGAACTTCCTGCGGGAACACAACTTCCGTTCGGGGGCGGGACTTCCCGTCGGGGGGGACGTAGGTCCGGGCGTTCGGCGTGTGGTGCCTGCACGTGGAGCGCGCGTAGGGCGCGGCGGCTGCTGAGCCGTTCTGAGGCGGGCGTCCGCGCAGTGGCCGTTGGGCCGGTTGGCGGAACCGTCCCTGTGCTGCCCCCGCAATGGACTATCGGCGGCTGCTGATGCGTCGGGCGGTCCCCGGGCAGTTTGACGACGCGGAATCCTCGGACAGGTGGGCAGCCGCGCCTGCGCCGCCGCCACCGCGGTCCCCTGGGGGCGTTGACGCCTGTTTGTGGTTGAGAGGGGGACCGGCGTTGTGCATCTCTCCTTGGTCCTCTTTTCACAGCCTTTTGGGGCTTTTCCATCTCAGCTGGGTTTTTTGATCCAGGTGACGGCAGTTAGTCCGCGGCTCCCGGGTTGTCAGCATCCCTGAGGGGTTAGAGTTGGGGAGAGAAACAGGGAAGCAGGTGTTTGAGCTTTTAACTACCATTTAGCGTTCCAGAAATGTTTGAGCACCTACCGTGTGCCTGTTCTGTCCTCGGCGCTGACGACGGTGATGAACAAGACAAACTAAGCCCCTTCTACTTGGGAAGGAGGCGGAGACAGATAAGTACATGGAATTTTTTTTTTTTTAACGCAGGACATATACTATGCAAACAGTTAAAATCAGTTGATAGAACTAAGTAGTGACTTAACAGTCAGGGAACGATAAGTCCAGATTGGAAGGACAAGAAGGAGCCAACCTGTGAAAGCAGAGAGGGGAGAGGGGACAGCAGGTGTGGTCCCTCCTGGCTGTGGAAGGAAGATCTAGAGGTCATTGTGCCCAGAGCACAGTGGAGGTAAATGAAGAGATGGGCTGGTGCGGAAGTGAGGAGCCAGAGCCTACGAGAGTGACAAGGAATGGTAAGGGTTTGAGATATTCTTGGTGCTGTAGAAAGCCACACTTTCAGCAGGGCAGGGACATCACCTGGAGTGTGATTGAAAGGAATCATTCTGCTATGGAGGAGATGGTTTTGGAGGGCAGGAGTGGACATGTTTAAAAGGACTAAGGGAATTCAGTTCATAGATCATGGGCGCTAGACGGGGATGTTCTGGAAGTAGGAGGACAGATTTCTAACCATAAAATAGATGTGAAGTGGGAGTCAAAAGGAATTGGGGATAACTCCTACTTTGAAAGCAAAATGAAACGTAGTGTTCATTTTGGAATTCTGAGAAAAGGGTTTTTACTTTGTATTCATAGTAAGGATTTACTGCGTGCAGACGATATTGCTTTATTTTTCAGTAAATACAGGTTGATCGCTTTCTGTGTGACAGGTCTCATGTCAGTTGATCTTGATACATTGGTAAATGCTCCCCTGGGTGACAGAGCTTGCATTCTAGCAAGGGCAACGTATTGAATAACTGGACAAATTATTTGTATGAGATTTGGGTAAGTAGTAGAAAGAAGAAGAACCGCGCAGCCTTCCCTGAGCAAAGTTAATTACTTGAAAGGGTAGGTAGGATTTAGCCAGAGAAATGAGGAAGGCATTGCAGGTCAGTGTTTTCAGGTGAGCGTGCAGCAGTCCGTAGGGACTAAGTCACGTGGGAGGAAGAAACAGCCAGTGCGCCTGGTGAGTAGTTACCGGTCAGGAGTGTGCACTGGACATTGTGAAGATGTAAACCAGTGGTTTTGCTGACTCCAGGAACTTAGGAGACGTTGTCACAGCTGGGCGTGGTTTGCACTTACCGAATCTGGAAAGTTCGGGCCAGAAATGCTGCTGCACAGGACCACTGCCCACAGCAAGGGATTGCCCAGCTGAGGTGGGAAAGCCGTGGTGCAAGTGACAGTATAGCTTTAACATGCCACTTGAGGTGGTTGGCAGTTTGAAAGATCAATTTATGGATTATGGTTATGAAATTCTAGTAAACAGTGGGGGGTTGATGATTATTTGTTCTCTTCTCAGCCATGTCCATGGAGATTTGGAGCCCTCTAAGCCATGGCTAATTAATGAGTTGGGATTGGTCATCTGAATTTACTTAAACTCCTCTGAATGCTGAAATGCATGTTATTGTGTGTTTTACATGATTTCTGTACTTGCTGTCCATCTGATGGCTCAAACCTGGCAGCACTCACCGCCTCTTGGGGATCTGACCTGCAGACATGTGTTTGGTGTGCACAGTGGTCTGTTAAAATTGAACGTACCAGTTAAGTGGGAGATTTTCCATGAAAGTGCAGAGTTCTGGCTTCTCTTGAAAAACTAAGAAGATTCAGTGACGCTGGTCTGAATTTTCACATGGCAAAAACAGACCCTGTTAGTTGTGATCCCTTCCTCTGGGCCAGTTCTCTGGATTTCACAATCCCCGCTTCTTCCATTTAGTTATACCCGGCCCTCTTCTCTCATTTGTGCTGCTTCTCGTCACCATCCTTCCTTTCAGGAGCAAGGGTGATTTAAAGTTCTTTGTGTAACACAAGTCTTGCTAAAGCTTTTTTCATTGTAGAGTGATAATTGAGTTCAAGGTAAGGCTTGAAATAAAGCTTTAGACTTGTTCCCACATTTTGTCAGAAAGCCTCCCCTGTCTGCTCTCAGAGCAGCTTTGTGAGTGGTTTTCCTGGAGTTCAGGTCTGCTGTACTGGCCAGAGCTGGTTCATTCAGCTGAGAAAATAACAAAGGCAGGAGCGGATTTAACAACCTGATGAATACTACTACTTTATTCAGACCTGGACAATCACCCGTCGGCTGAAATAGAACTCAGAAACAGGACAACTTGGTATTAAGTTTGAATTTATTGGGAGATACATGTTATAATTGAACCTTTTTGATGTATCTGTATAGATTTGTCTACTCTCTCTTAAATACATATGTAAGTCCAATTAATGTGTAAACAGGCTAAAATGTTGGAATTTCTAGTGAAAACATTGACTTGAAGACCGTCAAAGAGGAAGATGATGTTGTATTTGAAGACCTTCAGAGTAACGCCAATGAGAAGATGGGTGAAAGTGAGCCGGAAGAGGAGGAAGACGGAGATTATGACGAAGACGATGACTGGGTCTGGGGCGATGGAGTCGGAAAGCTCACGCGGTGTTATGCTTCAGGTGGAGGGAGTAACCCTCAGGTATTTTGTACACAATCCTGTAGGTCTTTGTGTTGTTTGCTTATGTCTTCTTTAGTAGTTGTTCTTTTCTGTTGTGGTGAAAGTCACATGATATAAAGCATACTGTGTTTTCATCATAGTTAACTGTATAGTTCAGTGTTCAGTGGCCCTGCATACGTTCACATTGTGCAGCTCTCAACAGGATCCATCTCCCAAATTTTTCACTTTGCTAAACTGAACCTCTGTCCCCATTAGACACTGTCTCTTGTCAGTTCATAATTGAAAACAAAGCACCTCTACATGCTTAATCTGCTTTTCTTTATTTACTCGTTAAGCTGTACTTTTCTCTGTTTTGTTACTGTTTGCAGTAAACTGCATATTTGTGTCTTTTCCCAGGCAATTTTTTTAAGGCTCTTATTCTTATGGTGATTTAAATAACTCTTTTTAAATTTACTGATTATGGAATGAATCCACATCATTATCAGAAATGTGGAAATGATGAAGAATGAAAGTCCGTGTAGGCTAGGACTGCAGGGCAACATAGCTTGGTGAAAATCTTTCGGTAAATTCCAGAACCACAAAAAGTCCTTTTAAAAAAGAAGACGTCTCTGAATGTCTAGCATATTTCAAGTGACTTTTTAAAAACCTCTTGGGCAAATGTGATTGATCCTTCCCTTCCTTTAGGGTACTTCCCTAAGTATTGATGCTTTAATAGTTGACTATGAACCAAGGGAAGATGTGATGAATTTTAGGCTTGTATGTATATCTAGAGCTTTCATCTCTGGAATTCATTTTTTCCAGGCCAATAGACAGACTCCCAGCTTCAATGCAGCCAAAATGTCTACTCCAGCAGACAAAGTCTTACGGAAATTTGAGAATAAAATTAATCTAGGTGAGTTTTTAAGATACAGCTCCTCTCACTAGGCAATGAGAAAACTCTTCAAAGACAACAAAAAGTGTTATAAAATTTTATTAGATCAATCAGTGGATATATTCAGTGTTACAGGGTAAATAATAAAGCTTAGAGGAAATTAAAATTTAGTAATTAAAAACATGACTTAAAATACTCTTGCTTATACTTTTTTAGTCCTGTGTTCTCTCCTGTTAAGGAAATACAAAGTTACAGATACTTATTCAAGTTATCATTGGTTTTGTATTAGATTTTTAGTAGGCTTATCTTGTAGTAGAATGGTGAAAATACCTGACTATTGAATATAATCACATTTTGTTTGACTTTTGGTGTGGCATTAAATCATTTCATGAGCCGTTGAATGCAGGGAATCACAGTGTGAATTTGAAGCCTCTTGGGAAACACGGGGTCATCTTTCTCTTGTAGACGAAGGCTGTTAGGAGCCTGGTATGACAGCTCTCACATCTGATCATCCCTAGCACTGACCTGTAATTGGAAGTGAAACTGACATTTTTAGAATTATAATATTTATAATAGTTGTACAAAATATTAAATGTCTGAAAGAGCAGATAGAATACTTTTGAGGGATTTCTGAATCTAGATTTCTCTGACTGAGAAATGACACCTGTCATGATGAAAGTGATCATCTTTGTTAGTAAGTAAGTGCTTGCCCTTAAAAACACAAAACACACTTTTCATTACTAACATGCATTACTATGTGTAGTAAAATACTTAGAAAGTAGAGAAGGGAAAGGGGAAAAGTATCCTATTCAGAAACTTTGTCTTATGTTGCTTATGTTGTGGATTTTTTTTTTTAGATAAGCTAAATGTTACTGATTCTGTAATAAACAAAGTCACCGAAAAGTCTCGACAAAAGGAAGCAGATATGTAAGTAATATATCAAGTATATACAATAAAGTAAATAAAATGTGACTGATATAAACTAATTGTAGACAGATTAGTAGCGTCTCCTTCATAATTCTTTTGCAAAGGATGTTCCTTATTATACCTAAACCAATTCTTAAGTTTAAGTGAGGATATCCTATGACTTTGTAAGTTGAAAATATTAGATGAGTTTTCTTAAGAAATCTGTGCTAAAACTATAATTGTGTAAAATTCATGAAAGTGCTCTCAGGGTAACAGTGCTTGTAGATTTCAATTTAAAGTGTTAGAGTATAAAAAATGTCCCCTTTTCAGAGCTTATTAAGGATTGCTCCCTTCCATGAAATATTTTTTTTTAATGGAAAGTGAAAGTGAAAGTTAATCACTCAGTCATGTCCGACTCTGCAATGCCATGGACTGGACATGCCCAGCTCCTCTATTCATGGGATTCTCCTGGCAAGAAGACTGGAGTGGGTTGCCATTTCCTCCTCCAGGGGATCTTCCCAACCCAGGGATCAAACCCCGGTCTCCTGCATTGCAGGCAGATTCTTTACCACCTGAGCCACTGGGGGAGCCTTAAAAATGTAAGAGCGGATTTAAAACTAAATAGTTTAACTGAAAACAGTTTCCATTTCCATTTCTGTTCTCAAAACCAAATGTTTAAGATTTGGCTCACTTCCTATTGCTAATAATTCTAAAGCATTAACAATATGTTATAGAAAACGACACTAAGATCTTAAAAATAGCTGTGTTAGAACTGAACTTAAAACCCAGTTTTCTTCTGGTTTATTATTACACGTAAGGGATACCAGCTTTTTGAGAAACAGCACATTTTATTTCACTGAACTGCCTGTTTGGATCTTTTTATTAGTTTAGGTTAGTCTGTGAATTGAGTCACCTAGCATGTGAGCCAAAGTAATCAGAGTCTGTGTTTTCATGCAGTAGCTGTCTTGAAGTGATAAAAGCTTGTTTCTTTGTAGAAAAGGACTCTGAAGAGAAAGCCTTATAAATTAGTTTAATTCTGTACTAAAAAAATCGTTAACGGTCTAAGAAACAGTACTTACAGACTTGTTCTCTTTTTCCTGCATAGTTTGTTTTACCTCACTGCTCTTATTTAATCCTTCTGAAATATGGACGGATGTTTTTTTTTCTTACTGCAGATCCTCTCCCTTTGCCCTAGGGAACTGAATGGCTTGTTAAAGGCAGTGAAGTTTCACATGATGGTGAAACTACAACGAGGTTATGAAATGTGTTATTAAAGAACTGCCTGCTTAGGAATATCATGGAATCATGTACATTTAGAATCTTTCAGTTTTGACTTCTCTGAATTTTGAATGTCACCTTTAATTTTTTGGTTTTGTCTTAGGTATCGCATCAAAGATAAGGCAGACAGAGCAACTGTAGAACAGGTATGGTGTAAATGAATGTGTTGCATGCTCTTAAATGTAGTAATTCTGTCTTTGAATTGTAATTTGCTTTCATCCTCCTTGCTTTATGCTAATGTCACCTAGAATTGCTTCTGTATAAAATTGCTCCTCCTTACAGTTTTGAGTTTAGAGATCTACATTTTGCTTATTTCTAACAGCACTTTAAATAGATAAATTAGAATCATGCCCTGCTTCTGTGGCCCATGAAGCCACCCAGCAATGCTTTCATCTTCTTGGGGGAAGCAGAACTGCCTGTAGTCCAGGAATCTTTTCTTTTGTCTTAAACAAGGTCTGCGGGAATTTTGTGAGCCGTCCCAGGAGGTGAGTCAGGTATCTGCCACAAAGTGTGTGTGTGTGTGTGTGTGTGTGTGTGTGTGTGTGTAGGTGTGTAGGTGTGTAGAAAAAAGAGAGACAGATAATGCCTTCAGATATTCATTTAGAATCTCTTACTTGGTTTAGAAGTTAGACTTGTTTTATTCTTTATGCAGGAATGAGGGGGGAGACCCGACTTCACCCACCACGTATCGAGGGTTGTGATTGGGTATTGGAATTGACCCAGGTTTCTGAAGGGAAGAGAGTGATGAAACTGGTCAGACCATCACTTCTGCCCCCTGCCAGCCTCCCCACCCGTCCCATACACGTAGCACAGACCCAGTTTGGAACAGTGGTATTCCAGAGCATTCCAAGTGTTGAGTTGAAGCACTGTTGATGTACAGTGCCATGTTAGTTTGGGTGTACAGCAGTGACTCAGTCAGACATGAATCTTCAGATTCTCTTCTGAGTTACTGAACAGGCGCAACAGCCTTTAAATTCATTGCCTTCTGTTTGTTAAAGCGAATCTGAGGTTGCTTTTTACTTGAGACTGACTGCTCTGACCTTGAAGGAAATAACACCTTTCCCAGATTTATCCACCTCTAGCAGGGGTTGGCCAGCTCTTTACAGAGCTAAATGATGAACACTTCTGGCATTGTGGGTCACAGTTCTCTTTTTTATTTGACTGCACCATGCCGCTTGAGGGATCTTAGTGCCCTGACCAGAGATTGAACCCAGACCCTCTGTAGTGGAGAGTCCTAACTGCTGGACTTCCAGAGAATTCCCAATTTTTCAAGTATTTCAATATGTAGAAACCATTTTCGGCTTGCAGACTGTAGAGGAAGCAGGCTGGCCGATCTGACTCGGGAACTGCAGAGTGCTGGTGGTTGCCGTGGAGCTTTGTGTCCAGGGCCGCGGCCAGGCTGGCTGCTCGTGTGCCGGGATTGCACAGGCACACCAGACTTTGAAGCCTGTGTGAGAAGCAGGATGTTAAACCTCTCTCTGATAACTTCTTACTTTGCCCACTTATTGAAATGATAGTGGCTTAGATGTACCGGGTTAAATAAAATAGAGATTAATTTCACCTGTTTTTATGATGGCTGAAAAATACAAAGTTACCTCTGGGTTGATTGTATTTCCAGTAGCTCTCATGGGTCCGGAGTCAGTTTCTGCTTCCCTTGGACCCGTTGGCCTTTGATTTCCCCGACTGGGTGAACTTCCTGGTCTCTTGCCTCTCTGGTTCCTTTGGGTCTCATCTTGCATTTTATTCACTGCAATGAGTGGCTAGAACCCTGCCATAGTCACTCTGTCAGCCCAGCAGGATCGCACAGTGCACTTAGTTCCGGTTTCTTGTCTCATGTTTCCGTGAGAAATATTGGTACACTCTCTCTGAACGTTCTACTTTTTTGCATTTCTTTTTAGGTGTTGGACCCCAGAACACGAATGATCCTGTTCAAGATGCTGACAAGGGGAGTCATAGCAGAGATCAACGGCTGCATCAGCACCGGAAAAGAAGTGAGCCAGTCTTCGGATGTCTGAATGTTTCCGTGTTCGTTTTCTTATTTCAGATACCAAAGTGAAACTAAAGTGAAAGTGGCAGTCGCTCAGTTGTATCCTAGTCTTTGAAACCCCATGGATGTAGCCCACCAGGCTCCTCCGTCCATGGGATTCTCCAGGCAAGAATACTGGAGTGGGTTGCCATTCCCTCCTCCAGGGATCTTCCCGACCCAGGAATCAAACCCTGGTCTCCTGCATTACAGGCAGATTCTTTGCCATGTGAGCCACCAGGGAAGCCCCCCAGAAGTGAAACTAAGGCATTTAGTAAATAAAGTGTTCCAAATGAGGATAGTTCAATCAGTGCCGTTTCTTAAACATGGCTGTGTTACTGTTATGGCCGGGAGGAGTTGTGCACAGAAGCGTGCCTCCCCAGCGCCGTTAGCCCATCCAGGTGTGCCCAGCACTGGTTCAGATGGTCGGACAGTTATGATGGGGGCAGGAGTGGGGGTCTAGTCTCTTGAGTCAGCACATGTCTTTCTCAGTGTTTTCTTTATGTATGGGAGAAAGACAGGCATGTTGCTTTTCAATTAGCAACTTACTCTGTGGGAAGCAGTTCTCAGTGAAACTCACTTTACAAATCACGAGATATAAGAATGTCTTCAGATATTTTCCACATACTTGAAATATAAAAATGTTTCAAAGTACTCACGTGTGTATATGTATATATGTAGGTATTTAATTTGAAGACCTGTTTTTTAAATTACTTTTTATAGTTGATTTGCCATGTTGTGTTAGTATCAGGTATACATCTGAGTTATTCAGATCTTGTGAGCCCTTGTTGGTTGTCCATTTTATACATAGCAGTGTGTATCTGTTAACCCCAGCCTCCTCATTAGTCCCTCCCCTAACCTTTCCTCTTTGGTAACCATAAGTTTGTTTTCTTTGTCTATATAACATAATTTAAATTGTTGTTTACTATATATGTAAATAGGAGGTATAGTTACTATACCTTTTAGTATTATGTTGTATATTTTAATTCACATATTCAAAAGAGGATGGCATTCCTTATGCATATTATTCCAGTTTACTGGACTTCTACTTTTGAGGATAGAATCAAATAGATTGCAAGAACAAAATATTATTTATATTTATTTAATACAGACTTAATTTCTTCTGTTTTTGACTTAAAATAGGCTAATGTATATCATGCTCGCACAGCAAATGGAGAGAGCAGAGCAATCAAAATTTACAAGACTTCAATTCTGGTGTTCAAAGACCGGGATAAGTATGTCAGTGGGGAATTCAGGTAAGCTCAGATTTTTTTTTCCCCCAAGTGGCTTAATTTCCGTATCCTAAAAAGTAAAAACTAGAATAATGGAATGATTGAAATAACAAGTATTTTTCTCATTCAAGATTTCGCCATGGCTACTGTAAAGGCAACCCCAGAAAAATGGTGAAGACGTGGGCAGAGAAGGAAATGAGGAACTTAATCAGGTGACTGTCTGGGGTGTGTGTGTCTGTGTCTGTGTGTGCCGTGTCTGCCTGTCAGTCCCAGCACTTGGCTCCCAGCAGATCTCCTGTGATTCTGTCAAGGCCAGGGACTCTCAGGGCACTTCCAGTCCCTGAGATGTGCAGAGGTAAACAGAGGAGATGTTGCTGGGCAAGTAGAAACCACCTTCTCTTCCTGTCATACAAACCCGCTGCGGAAGAATTTTGCCACGGCTGGGTCACATGAAAAGCCTTGGGAGCCTCGTGAGAAGGTTTTGAGTTTACAGTGAGGGTGATAAAGAGCCTGCAGGATTTGAAGCAGGGAAGCGACACAATCAGGTTGGGAGAATGATGTGTCGTTTTGTGCAGGTGTTGGAGTTTTAGACCGTTTTGTTAGGCCCTGAACTCTCTTTCGTAGTTTCCTCTTCTTCGGTCCGACTCTGGACACATTTATATATTCTTTGCCTTGGCACCTTTGTATCAAGTAAAGGCATCTTCAAGCTTCCTCATTTGAAGTTTTAAATATGCTTTAAATAATGAAGGTTTTCTTTCTGTCTTTCAAATGTCTTTTAACATTTTATATGCTATATCTAGGTGTCATACACTGGCTATTTTCATATTATTAAGTAAAGTCAGGGAGATAGTGAAGGACAAGGAAGCCTGGCATGTTGCAGTCCATGATGTCTCAAAGAGTCGGGACTTAGCAACTGAACAACAACCAAGTCTACTTGCTTGAAAGTCCTTTTGAAATGTTATGCTCAATTAGCGACTGGCCATGAGTCCACTATTTTTATTAATCATTGTTCACACTGATCAACTCAAAGAAGAATCGCAGACATACCTTCTGTGTTTTGTCAGTTCTCAGGGGCCTGTGTCTTCATAGTTTTAACACATCTGACTTTGAGCTGGGTGTTAGAGGCTGTGGGACCTAGTTCAGTCACCATTCTCTGTGACGTGTAACGGTGCCACTTAAAGTCCCGGGCGTCAGAGTTTATGAAATGAAGTAATAAATCGAGAGGCTTGGATGATCTTTGCTCAAAGCCCTGGCCGTCTTGTAAGCTGCAAGCAAGTGCACTGTCAGGTGTTTCAGAGTAGATGCTTTAGATCGTTTGTTTCAGCCTCTCATTTGTCCTTTTCACCTGCTTTCATATCACAGGCTAAACACAGCAGAGATTCCATGCCCAGAACCCATCCTGCTGCGAAGTCATGTTCTCGTCATGGGTTTCATCGGCAAAGACGACATGTGAGTGCACAGGAGGGCTAGTAATTACACGCCCAGCATTGTATTTTTAAGTGCTTTGAATCTTCCAATATATGAATATTTCCTGTTTAAATAGTTCCTTTTGCCTTGGTATATTTTTTAACAAGCCTTTCCCACTCTGTTGGTACATGGGTTTTTTATTTGTTTAACCTTTTTAAGTCTCAAAATGCTTCAGAGCAACAGAGCTCACCTTGTTTTTGAGGAATGTCTTATCTGGCAGAGCACCTGTTTGTGGACAGCTTTTTAGAACTCTATCTCTGGAGTGAACTAAACTGGTCAATGTGAGCCATAGAAGAAAAGAATGTGTGTCAGTGTAGCAGAAAGCAAGAAAAACTTGAGTCTGCTTATCTAAGTTGTTCACTTTATTTTTGTTCAAGGCCAGCGCCGCTCTTGAAAAACGTCCAGTTATCAGAGTCCAAGGCTCGGGAGTTGTACGTGCAAGTGATCGAGTACATGAGGAGAATGTACCAGGACGCCAGGCTGGTGCATGCGGACCTCAGTGAATTCAACATGCTGTGAGTGGGTAGCCCATGAGAGCCTCCACAAGTCCCCTCGGATCCTTTAGGCACATGAACTAAATCCCAATCCCAGAAGTCGTCTGAATTCTCAGTTTTCAAGTTGTCTTCCACAGGGTCACAAGGTAGGACGTGTTTGGTGGCCTCAGTCACAGGATTGACTGATCACTGGTAGAGTTAAAAGGACTTTGGATATTTTCTCAGTTTCCATCTCTTGTTAGTCACAGTGGCTCTTTTCCTTATCCACTTTGTTCACTTTGTTAGTGTCTTCTGTTGCTCTTAAAATAGCAAGTTTTAAGGAAGATACAGGCAAGCAGCAGTGTCCCCTAGGCCCCCGTGCCCGGCCCCTGCGGCAGTGTGGTGGCAGCCTGGCTCAGCCCCTGTGCCCTGGCCCATGCAGGTACCACGGCGGAGGTGTGTACATCATCGACGTTTCTCAGTCCGTGGAGCACGACCACCCGCATGCCTTGGAATTCTTAAGAAAGGACTGCACCAATGTCAATGGTGAGTGGGAACCACTCTTCTCCCTGACTTGTTTGCACCTGTGGCTCTGTTCCCTGCTAAACTGTCAATAGAGAACCGTGGCACTGAACCGTTTGACTCAGTGATACTGACACCCTTGGCTCAGCGATGGTGAATTTTATCTGTTTGTCTGTGAAGAGGTTGGAATAGCAACCTTTTCCCTCACAGAGCTCTCACAAGCATCTTCTCTGGCAGATTTCTTTCTGAAGCATGGCGTTGCCGTGATGACTGTGCGGGAGCTCTTTGAATTTGTCACGGATCCGTCAGTTACACCCGAGAACATGGATGCGTATCTCTCAAAGGTGAGGCGGGGCCGAGACTGGGAGGAACAGGAAATAGCGGTAGTGGTGGCATTTCTGTGTCACTTCTGAGGACTTGGGGTTTAGCATCATTTTTGTTCATCATGACAGCTTCCGGAGACCTTTTCCTTCTGATTTCACAAGTGAGGGATCAAACTGTAGTAAAAAGCCAGTGGTAAAGCCAGGTTTCTGGGTAATGGATATATGTTCTGTGGGTTGAATATGAAGGAAGGTGATTTTTGTTTTCTTTCCAAGGCCATGGAAATAGCATCTCAAAGGACCAAGGAGGAAAGGTCCAGCCAAGATCATGTGGATGAGGAGGTAAGATTGATCATCTGTTAGAGCCTTGGAACCACTTGTTCCCAGGGTCTTTTTTTTAAAATATATTGCTGGGACATGATCTTGATTTTATTGGATATGCAGTATTTTAAATGATGATAATGTTTTCTTGAGATAACATGTTACATGATTAAATTGACCCAAATTGTGTAGCTTACATCCCATTATGTCCTTCCATTCTTGCTTGTTTGCTCCTAGTCCTGCATGGAGAACATTTTTACCGAGTTGACTGGAGGATGTGATTCAAGAAGGAAAAGCTGATTTTAGTTTGCTAATGTGAATTTTTTTTTTTACTTTGTATTGGGGCATGGTCAATTAACAAACAACGCTGTGATAGTTTCAGGTGCATGGCGAAGGGACTCAGCCACGCACACACATGTATCAGTGCTCCCCCAGACTCTCCTCCCATGCAGGCTGCCACACTGTGCCATACAGTAGGTCCTGGTTGGTGACCCCGTTTTAAATACAGCAGTGTGTGCGTGTCCATCCCAAACTCCCTTGTTATCCCTTCCCCCCATCATTGCCCCCAGCGACCATAAGTGTGTTCTCAGATTATATGTCTGCAAGTCTGTTTCTGTTGTTAATGTGAATTTTTAAGCGATCTAAGTGTTGATTCCAGTAACATTGTAGATTTTATATATTTACGTTTGGTAAAAAGGAAGATTTTTTTAAGATGTTGGGAGTCAGTATGTTTTTTGTGAAAGTGATCAATAGGAGGCTCAGAGCTCTTGGTGTGATGGGCGAGTATAAGGCACCCCATACTTCCCAGCTGTAGCACAGGGTAGACGCTGTTCCCCCGGAAGACCTCGTCCTCTGTCACTCGTAGCCAGGCAGTGCTTGCTCATGGCGGCTCCTTTCTGTCCCACTCAGAAATGCCACGTTCTGGAATACAGAGGAGGGGTGTTATTCCAAGGGAAACTGTGTATCATTCCGTGTTTCATCGTTAGTCACAAACTCCTGTGCCCAGCACACAGCACGGGCCGTGCCAAGTGTGCGGACAGCCTGGCTGAGACTCTGCGCCCAGCGTGACGACAGTGACGACCTGCTCTGTGACTGAGGGCGGGAGCAGGCTTGGTGCACGTGAGGAGCCGTGACTCAGTCTCCACGTCACTTTTCTTCTGCCTCTGTTAGGTGTTCAAGCAAGCTTACATTCCAAGAACCTTGAATGAAGTGAAAAACTATGAGAGGGACATGGATATAATGATGAAATTGAAGGAAGAGGACATGGCCATCAACGCCCAGCAGGACAACGTGAGTAGCTTGGTTTGTCCTCAGCGAGTTCACCAGGGAAGCTGCGGTCTTGAGTGTTGCCTTTGAACTAGTGAGACGGCTCATTCCTTTCGCATGGCACGCCCTCTGTGTCTGTTGCTTGTGGAGGATATCAATCCACTGGCCTTTATGAAAGAAATGAGTGAGTCGAACAGGCTGTAATCGCAGGAAAGGAAGATGTGTATAGAAGTCCAGGCTATAAACAATTATTGTGCTAGATCCATCGACACACGTCTCAAAGTTTGGGAAATTTTTTTCTGCTAATGGGCCAGATAGTAAATATTTAAGGCTTCGCGGGCCAAGAAACAAAATTGAGGCATTGTATGGGTCATTATATGAGAGAAAAAATTTCCCCCCAATTTTTGATGACATTAAAGATGCTAATAATACTGACTACATACATCTTTTCATGATAATGAGAAAGGAATGGAGTTATTTGGTGGAGTAGAAAACATTGCACTTAGCTGAAATTCAGAGTTAGGACTGCCTGTCACTGATCAGTTACAGCTGTATATCGGTAAGAGCCCCCGGCCACCACCAGTGAGCAGAGGCCCCGGCTGGGGCGTGCAGACCTGCTGTGGTTGTGTGGTTGTGGAGGAGAACCACACCCACGCTAGACTCTCTGTCCCCTGAGACACAGTTTGGACACCTTTTTATACTCACACAAGGTATCATCTAGCCGGCAGAAGCACCCTTTCTTAATATTGCAGCGTATTTCATTGTTCAGTTTTATGCTCATTCTTTTTTTTTTTTTGTCTCTTTGGTTTTAAGATTCTATACCAAACTGTCACGGGACTGAAGAAAGATCTGTCGGGCGTTCAGAAGGTATGAAGAACGTGTGTTCATTTACATGAAAACTCAAAAGGGTATAAAATTGTGTGTCAAGTAGTATTAGCGTTGAAGTAACAATGGTGCGCTGTTACTGGTATAGATGCTTTCCCAGTCTGTGGCCATTGTGTCCATTCCTTTTAACCATGAGCCTGAGCTGTGGGCACATGAGGTTTGTTGTTTACTCTGCCCCTGAATCGGTCTGTTGCTACTGAGGCGTCGATCCTTTGTGTATCCTGTCTTCGCTGGTGAAGCTGTTAACAGTACACACATGCTTCTAGACATTTCTACAGCCAGCTTGAAACAGCCGTGGGGGCTGGTCTCGCCCTGGCGCGCAGCTGCTGAAGGCTGGCTCTCCAGTCCTGCCGTCTCACGGCGCAGATGCCGGTAGTGCTTTTTCTTAGAGCAGGTTCATTGTGCCTTAACATTTTCAGACAGAGAGATTGTTTCTAGTTCAGGCGGTAGTGAAGGTGGCTCTTACTTCTTTTGATGTTTTTAGTTGATGTTTTAGTATGAAGGTTTGTGGTTTACATTTTGAAAATTGACTCTCTCTTGTGGGAAGAATCGGACTAGGAGAATTCTTGGATTCTGTGTTTCTGTTTTTTTTGTGGCAGATGTGACGAGGATAGTTGTGCTTTGAATTCCAGAGCAGGAAGATTCTGTTACCACTGGCCAGGAAGCCTATTTGTACCATCACTGTGTGAAGATCTGGTTTTTTTTTTTTTCTTATGAAAAAAAGGCCTCGTGCTTTAAAAAATGCTTCCTGCTACTTTAAAAACTGCTAACCTTCAGGGAAAAAAGTGAACATGTTTCTTGTTTAAAGATTGTCTTCCCTCTTGGATTAACAAATGTTCCACTTGAAATTTAATCTGCAGGCCAACAGCTGTGAAGTTATCCAGATATGTTCACTTTTTTCTCCTATCTGTGTTCCAAATCCCGGCTCAGCCCGCCAGTTGTGCTGCAGGGGGTGGAACAGTCCTGTTGTTGATCTGGGTGGCTCCCCCCGTTGGGAGCGTCCTTGAGCCATCCTGGAATGGCTGCTTCAGGCTTCCTGCCAAGCGTGGATCCTGTTGTTTTGATGTTTCAGTACGGGATTTCATTTTTCAAAGTCTGTCTGTGAGGCTGAAATCTGAATTCTGTCATTAACACATTGAATGCCAGTAGGTAGCTGGCTTGTTGAGAATAACATGGTCCTGTGATGTTTTCAAGGTCCCTGCACTCCTGGAAAGCCAGGTTCAGGAAGAGACTGGTTCTGATTCAGAAGATGCAGGGAGCGTGGAGTGCTCTGACACAGACTCTGAGGAGCAGGGGGATCACGCCGGCTCCAGGAAGCCCCCTGCCGACCCTGAAGTTAATAGAAAGGTTAGCTGAGAGCGCACGTTCCCGCGTTTGTCAACATGTCCACTCGGTCCCTTGAGACTGTGTACTCAGATGTCTGGATCAGAGTAGCTGAAGTTTCAGTTTTTAGTTCCTGAAGTGTGAACTTCACTTTGGTGGTAACATCATCTGGAGATTGGGCTTCTTCTAGGAGCCCTTGGGCACTGCCCAGGGAGAGGACACACTAGTTTCAGTGCATTAAAAGTGGTTGTGATGCACTTGTAAAAATGATGCTGGAGTGGGCCCCATGGCGAAATACCAAAGAACCATTCCAGGGGCATTTTTACAGCCCAGCTCCCCATTTTCAGAATCTCAGATATTTCTTACTCTCTTGCCTGTAGACATAAGAGACACAACTGATGCAATGATCCATGACGGCTGTTACTCTTTATTTTTTTTTTTTTTATTCCTCATTCTTAGCCTGATCCTTTAAACCCTGGAGAGTGTGGGTTCCAAGACTTCCAAGAGACATCACCAGCTCTCTAGTACACGTTCTTTCTTTGTCTCCTGGAAATATGTATTTTGTCTTTCATTCCAACATTTATTTCTGTTAGAATATGAACCATATAAGGAAAAGTAGTGGCATACCTTTAATAATGTCCCCATGGGCATCTCTCTTGACTGTCTTGAAATGTCTGAAGAAATTGTAAAGACAGTTTTCACCCCCAGTTCCACCACCAAGCCATAATCATTTTCAGCTTTTTTCTGTGACACTCACCTTTTATCTTTTTACATATATTAAAAATTTAGTTGTAATAATAATGTGACTACTCAGAATGAATGAAATTTGCAGATTTTTTGCTTCTGATTTTTTCCAAACCTTTTTTTTTTAAAAAAACCACTAATTGATTTGTCAGTGTTGGATCTTAATGGCGACACACATCCCATGGGCTGTCTCACTGGGGCGTGCGTGGGACCTTCATTCCCAACCAGGAGGGGGACCCATACCCCTGAGCCTTGCATGGCAGATATTTAGCCACTGGACCGCCAGGAAATCCTCATACTTTTTATTTTTGTTTTGCAGGAAAGAAAAAAGATGGTCAAGGAAGCCCAGAGAGAGAAAAGAAAAAACAAAATTCCTAAACACGTGAAAAAAAGAAAGGAGAAGGCAGCCAAGATAAAAAGGGGCAAATAGAACCAGAACTGTTATCATGTATAGTAATTTTCCATCAGTTAGGTTTTGCGCCTGTGCACTGTACTGAGCTGCCTCTGGAGGATGCGTTATTGATTTTAACCAAATGGTTTTTACTGCAGTGTCCCTGGGGACCACCTTTCATGTTTTCATGTAATTATGTAAACAGCTCTGAGCTCTGTTGTCTAGGTCCATTCCCTAGCTCTGTGTGGTATTGATAGAGGATTTCTTTAAGCCACTGTTTTAATGAACTTTATACAATTTTATTTTTGTATATTTTTATCTTCTACAATGTTGCTTTTAAAGCATTGTAATTATTTAAATATATTGAGCATTCCCGCCTTTTGTGTAAGTGTAAAGGCACTTTGGACAAACTTGGGCAAGTTGTTTTTGCTTTGTTTGTACCAAAGACCCACCTGGAATCATTGGACTATAAGGCCATTGTTTCTACAGAAGGGAGATTCACCGATACAGAGAATTCAGTTGGCTGCTGATATGATCGTTTATCGCAGCTTCGTTCTATGTGTACTGGTAATTATTTAGTGTACTTACTTTTCATCTTTACTGTTCTTTTCTGAGCTAGTTCATAAGCTATTTCACATTCATATATGTGGCCTATTCATTCATTCATTCATCAACATTAGGGTATTTTAGGTCTGGGAGACACAGCAGTAAATCAAAGGCAAGTTCCATGGATAATCCTAGTTTTCCCTAAATTGAAGCTTGCACTGGCTTGGATCCATGGGTTACTGAGGGAGGAGCAGGGTCAGCTGCGTAAAACAGTCAAAAGCTACTACCTTCAAGTAGTTTGCATTTTAATAGGAAGACAAGACATCAAGCTAAGGAAAACAGTGTATCAGCTTAGTAAATTCCATGGAAGAAACAGCACTGCCTGGGGCAGTGAAGGTGTGCGTGTTTAGAAGAGGCCATATTTGGGCAAATACTTGAAGTCTGTGAGTCGTGTGCCTGTCGGGAGAGAATAATGGTCCAGGTAAAGCAGACAGCAAGTGCAAAGGCCCTGAAGCAGAAGTGTGCCTGAAATGTTCCAGACCCCGGAAGCTAGAGCATCGTAACCACATGGGGGGGCGGGGTTGGGTCAAGGAGATGGAATGTAGCGGCTTAGATTGGGTGGTGGTAGGCGCCTGGAAGGTTTTGAGCAGAGGAATGATGTGATCTGAATTGTTTTTAAAGAATTGCAATCACTCTGACTTCATGGAGAATTGACCAGGAGGCAAGGGCTAGGGACCGGCTGGGTATTTATTATGACCCGTGAGAGAGATGATGGTGGCTTGGTATAGGATGGTAGCAGTGAACGTGGAGAGAAGCCTTTGGATTCTAAGTATAGGAGCTACAGGGTGTGTCATGAAAAATGCTGATTTTTTTAATAACCTCCTTTCCCGACTTGAAAAAAGTTCAAATACGAAATATAATTTCAGCGAAACACTGTTGTGTCCCCTCTGAAATACTATACAGTGAACACAACAGAGGAGAAAACAGACAGGTGGCTGAGCAGTCCAGTGCCCTTTCGGGGGCGTCACCTTCAGGATGCTCTGGCTCTGGCCTGGGCCGGGGCCTCCTCCCCGGCCAGGTGAGCTTCATCCAGGTGGTCAGGCTCCTCAGTGCCATTTCTGCTGAATCGAGTGCAGCCGCTGAGTTTGGAATCAGTTTCCCTGGGCAGAGCCAGCGTCGGTCGGCTGGCCAGTCCTCATCACAGGCTGCCAAGAGGAAGTGGGTTGTGATGCGCCTGGACGGGGGCCTGCAGGGGGATTCTGGCTCAAGGCGCCTTCTTTCTGACAATGTGTTGACGTGGCCCTTTCCCCGTCTGGATTCTGGGCTGTAGCTGTGGCTGAGTGGGAACCACTGTAGCCTTCTTGCCAGGGGGGTCTGATGCCACTTCCCTTGTTTGACTCTTGCCAGGAGATCTGGAAGAAGGAGCCCCGTCTTAGGTAAACGTCCAGAGCCCTTTTCTGGCTCCCATTGCAATAGATTTGCGCACCTGTTGGATTTGGTGTCCCTGAATTACTGGTTGTGCAGTGACTTTTCCATTTGCAGGGTGAGCTTTTGGGGTCTCTTGGCCCAAAGGCCGGGACATCATTTTGTCCACTTTGGACATACCCGTTTTCTGTCCTATTTTGTCGATTTTCTAATCCCTTAAAAAATGCAGGTGTTTCTTCTCTCAAAGTTGACTGTGAGGGATCTGGGTGGTTTCATGGAAGCGCGGAGTCACCACGATCTTCTCTGCACTGCAGCCTGAGTCCTTATTTTTCCTTTGATGAAGCAATTCAGGGACAGGCCCTTTCCCCCGCCCAGGAGCACAGTGTTTGAGCCTGGGCTCGGGGTGAAGAGGTGGGCACCGCGGCGGCCGGCTGCCTGGGTCTGATCAAACGCGAGTCTGCCTTTGGGGCCGACATCAAGTTTTCTTCAACTTTTGCTTCTCCTTGATGATGGTGGACTCAAGGTTGGAGAGTTGTGTAGTTTGGTACCAAGACTGGTTGGAGAAGATCTGTTCTTTTAGTTAGTTTCTGTTGAATTCAGTGCAAGCAGCTTGCTGTGTCTTGGTACCGAGGGCCCATCCTATTTTGTGGCTATGATTTCATTAACCTCTCAGCTCAGAAAGTGAAGAGCTGAGAAAGTTCTTCTAGAAGCTGGTAAAAAAACTCAGTCGAAGGGCATCTTGAGTGTCATGGGCTCTGAAGGTTGACATTTCTAAAAGTCTGGCAGCTACAGCAGATCCTCACTGTATAATTTCCTGTGAAGATTTCCTGTGATTGCATCAGATAGATAAGGTTTTCAACCCCTGGTGGTCATAAAACAAGAGTGCTCCATGTTCTGTCTCTTGAATCGGGCTAGGTTGTTACAGTCCCTGCATTTTGGTTGGAGTTTTTAACTTTCATACCCTTCAGGTTTGTGTTGCGTTGGACATAAGGGCATTTATCAGCTTTCTGGGGGAGGTTATAATGTTGGGTCTGAAATCATTTAAGCTGGTTTCCAAAGGAAAAGATAGCTCTCCCGCACCCGTGTTCTCCGGAGATCTTAGTCGCAGCTGAAGCGCTGTGGGAACCTCTGGGCTTGAATTTGAAGCGTGAAGACTTGTGGACTTTGTGACTGTGGTTTCCAGCTTTCCTTCACTTTCTATATCACTCTACTTCCTGCTGTGACGGCTGGGAGCCGCGGCCGCCAGGAGGGAGCCCTCATGCCGCCTGGAGGAGCCACACTAGTCTTTCTCCTTTTTTTCCAGAATAGCAAGGGTGTCATCTGGGTGAGCACAGCTGTCTGCAGCTCTCTGAGTGCTTTCTGCATTTCTTATTACCTCATAGTATCAAGGCCGGACAGCCACAGCATCTCGGGGTAAAATTTGACCCTTTACACATCTGCCACATCGCTCTCTTGGGGTCGTGAACCTGTCGGTGACAGGGTGGCAGGTCCCTGGGCCCGGGTACCTCAGCTGTAGGGGGGCGGGCAGGGGCGAGCGGTTAAAGCTGTCCGGGCGCAGGTGCCCCTGTGGCTCGTGTCTGTGGTACAGCGGGGGTGTGAGTGGCTGCTTTGGGGAGCGGAGGGTATCGAAGGCTAGATGCTCAGGGGACCGAGGCCGGCGTTTTGGAAGGGCCGTCCTGGATTAGGACAGGCCTGGTTCTAGACAGTCCATGAGAGCCTGAGTCTCCAGCGGGCAGGGATGCGGGTGGGCCACCCATGGGGGGTGTGGTGTCTGATGATGTCTGCCCTCCGGACGTCAGCGTTTAAATGGGGCAAGGAAAGGGGGTCCCCCAGAGGAGCAGTTGAAGATAGGAGGCACTCTGCTGGCGTCAGATGCCATACTTGTCCCCCAAGGCCCCGGGGGAGCGTCTCAGGGTGATGAAGGGGGGAGCCTGACCCCGTGAAGCAGGCAGATAGCACCAGTGCATGGAGCTCAGCACAGTGCCTGCTTCATGGGGTTCCTGTGAAGGACACTGAGGGGAGCTCGGGGGAGCTTGGCCGGGGCTGGATCAGGCCAGTGAAAGTGAACTCAGCCACTGACTTCCTCGGTGTTCCCGCAGTGGTGTGAAAAGAGGTTCACGGAATCCCCTAGACAGTACCTTGCCTCTCCCCAGAAAGGTTGAACCTCAACCTGCGAAGCCTCTTGCTGTGATTGGCAGGTTACAGGAAACAGGAGCAGGATCCATGATTCTGGGAGGATGTGGTCAGTGGAATTCAGAAAAAGGGCAGCGGGGAGGGAAAGAGTCAGACATCTAATAAAAAGGAAAAGCTAAAGAGCTGTGTCCCAGTGCTGTGGATTTCAGCTGGACCCTGGTTAGATGAAACCAGTTTTAAAAAGATGGGCTGTTTGGGGTTTCTTTTCAGAGAAACAGGGAAAAGTAAGTGTGGAGATGTCAGGTGATAGTAAGGGATTGTTCCTTTACCAGATGTCATAATGGTATTCATGCTTGACATGGTTCCCTCAGAGCCTGGACTGAAGTCTCACTGGGTGAAATGAATAGGATGCCTGTGACTCAAAATTCTCCATCCTTCCTGAGTCCCCAAAGGACAGCGGTGGATGAAGAAGAATAGCAGGTCAGCAGTTGCTGAGAGAGTACTAATGGGTGTGTGGGGATTCATTACACTCTTTTCTCTCTTACAATTTCTGTAAGAAAGCTGGGTTTTTTTTTAATCAGAGTTTCTATTAAGTACTTAAAACAGGGCCTGCCACATACTTGCACTGTGTTACACAAGCGTCTGTATTTTTGTTCTTTTTAAGTAACCTTTTTTTTTGGCCCGGCCTTTAATCATCTGGGCCAAAGAGGAAGGCCTCAGGAGGACTGTTAGTGCCTTCCGGTACCCTGACATGCCTTTTGGTTTCGAGATTCTGGTTCCCCTGGTGGAGGCAGTTCCAGAACGTGTGTGTTGAGCTGCCCTGAGTTTTGGCTCTGCCAAGCCTGACCGTCCCCTTCGCAGTGACCTGTCCTGACCACTCCCTGGCGTGCGGTCTGCCCCCTCAGCTGAGGCTCCTACAGTCCTGGTGACCTTTGCTCTGCGTTGCTTTTCTAAAGCTGCTCTAACAGGCTGCCTGGCAGGCTGTGCCCGCATTACCGCACTTCGCAGATACCGAGTTCTTTGACCGGTTGAAGGTCTGGGGCAGCCCCATGTTGAGCGCGTCACTGCCGTTTCCCAGCACCCTGGCTCACTCGTGCCCCTGTGTCACGAGGTAATTCTTGCCGTCTTTCAAACCCTCTGCCAGCAAAAAGGTTACACCTCGACAACTCGGGTGATGGTTAGCATTTGTTAGCAATAAAGGATTTTTAAATGACCTTTTTCAGGTATAATGTCTGCACACAGACTGCAAAAGTGTGACCATCACTTTTATATGCACTGGGAAACCAAAAACTCCATGTAACTTGTTCTACCGCGATAGTCGCTTCGTGTCGTGGTCTAGAGCCGAGCACACAGTGTCCGCGTTCTGCCTGTATGTACGTGTCTGAATTTTCTTAACACATGTGTCTTTCCCTCACCTCCCAACCTCTTACTAGAATAAGCTCCACGGGGACAAGGGCTTTTACCTTTGTTCGCTTTTGTGTCCTTGCACCTAGAATTGTGTCTAGAACATTGTAAATGCTCAATAAATACTTCAGTGAATGATATACTATGTTTCTTAAAGATGGGGCTGTGACATCAATTGCATCCCTCCCCCCCTCCCCCCAGCCATGATGACTAGGAGTTGATGTGGGTTGACTCATGCCCTCCAGCCCTCTGCCCAGTGACCGGGTCTCACCCGCTTTAAGGTGACCAGCCTGAGCAACGTTGGAGGCATGGCCACCCCTGCAGCCTTCTGCTCCCGAGAACCTTGGCATCAGCACAGCTCTCCAGCCAGGGCAACGGGTGCATCTTAACCTGGACTGTTGCTTTGACTTTTCCCACGTGAGACCGTTTCACAACAGTGTTAGCCAGAGTGCTTGGGCAACCATGATTATTATTCATGCATTTCTGATGCATTATTCAGAAATCCAATTCACCGTAATATGGGAGAATGGGAGACCTGGTAGAAGCCAAGGCTCATATGTACATGTGTTGCATCTCTTCCCAAGTATAGACTGGAAGTTTGAAGACGTACTGATTACCAGAGGTGGGTCTGGTGGTGTCCTGTGAGAATCGCTCCAGATACAGATGTATTTTTGTGGGGGGGGGGCGCGGGTGTTAGCGCCACTTCCTGCTCCCCCATCTTGACCTCCTCCTCAAGGGAAGGTCCTAAGCTTGAACACGACCTCTGCTTGTTTGAGAAGCTGATGATGTCCCACAGTAACACACAGGGTGTACCCTAGCCCCAGGGGTGGGCATGAATGTCAGGAGGCGCTTGGTCTCGCCCAGCCTGGTTTCTTTCACCCAACATCAGCAGTGACGGGAGCCTGCCCCCTGCCGCCCAGCATGTGAGCGTGGTCCGGGCTTGCTGGGGTGGGGAGGGGATGCTGGAATGGATAACCCACTTTGCTTCATGGGAGCATTTCTCATCACACAAAATGGTCATCAAATTTCTTTACAATTCTGTTATTTTAAAAACCATAGCATAAGTGGATGACTCTTTAACGAAGGGAGGTGTGAAAAATGTATATTTAGAAAAAAAGGGGGTCTTAGGAAGGCTTGAGGAAGAAGGTATGAAGCACAAAGAAAGTAACGTGTGAGGGCAAATAATTAACAGCCATCAATTGTTAAAATAACTCTTCCAGGTGTCCTGGATATTGCTAAGCCAAATGCTATCGTTTTATCAGGACACCCAAACGCCTCTCGGATTTCATGCTCAAAGACATGTTTTTTCCATGGATACGGCACATTTTATACCATCTACTTGATTTCTGGCTTTATATAAAATTGATA